GGAAAGTTTTTATCTACAGATTTTCAAAATAAAATCATTGAACATATGCAAACTCTAGCTATAGTAAGATCTTCCTCAAATCTCCCGATCATTAGGGAAAAAAATGACGCTCCTTTCATACCCACTAATATGCCCACTGTGTTTCTTCAAACGGTTCCCTTCAATGGCCACGACTTACATCAATCACTCCCCCTGCCAAACCCTGGCCGGTCCTTGGGCTGCCCATGAGATGTGAAAACCACAGAGACTGTCGTTTATTAGACTAGAGACAAGCAGGAATCATTAAAAGATACAGAGAGATGACAAGGCATGTCGTTCTGGGTATTCACTGATAGGAATGCACACGAGGAACAGAAGAGTTACAGACTGATGGGTGTGAGAAGTGAATGAAACAGGTCCTCAGAAAGTTCAAGGAAATGCATATTATCAAAACATGCATGTATTTCAAATTTTTTTGTGCCAAAATAAACTTATACTTTAATACCATTTTTTCCATAAGCTTTTCAGAGTTCCCTCATTACTACCAGCTGTGAGACCACAAGCCCCAATAGCACACTGACAGGTTGGAACCCAAGGGGTAAAATCCACAGATGTCCCGGTGTGGAGGTGGCGTGAAGTCCATGTGAGCCATGCCTCCAGCTTTCTCTCTGACCGTCTCCTAGAACTCTTCCACTTGCTTTCTTCACCACACCTACCCTGGAACTGATGCTTGTCCTATGACATGCCAAGCAGGCCCTGGTCTCACACCTCTATCCTTAGAATTCCCTCTGCCTGGAAAGTTTGTTCCAGAGCTGTGGATGCGAAAGGTCATTTGCTCTATGTCTCTGCTCCAACACCAGGACACTGGAGAGAAGTGTAGACCATTACACTTCCCCCTGTAGACCATTCACACTCTGCCCCAAGCATGCAAGTACACCCACGTGTGCACAAACCCCAGTGTTCGCTTGCCATCTCTCAGCCCACTGGTTCCTGGCTTAGCCCAATGCAGCAGACACTGGTTCTACAACACAGATTGCAAATGGCCAACAAAGCCCCTCTAGGCACAGGAACGGGTCTGCACCAGATCCTTCCTGTCATTGGCACCGTCACTTACATATAAGGAAGAAAAGCCACACACACGTGACGAAGAGGTCAGTGAGCCAGCAGACCACCTGTCCAGTTGTTTCCATCATCAGAGGGTCTACCGCCGCGCCTGACTGAGGCCAGCACCACCCAGCCTCCAGCCTTCTGCTGTCCACCAGCATTTGTAGATGGTGAGGTGGAAGACATTATGAAGGAGGAGAGAGGCCAGAGGTGCTCCTGGCCTTACTCTAATATTTAATGTGTGACCTTGGACAAAACAACCTGGTTTGTACCTCTATACTGGTTCACTCTTAATAATGCCACCAGAGGGCCAGCCCCGTGATGTGGTGGCTTCTCACTGGGCACTGGGAGCTGGATCCCACATGAACAAGTACAGTTCAAATTCCAGCCCAGGAGGTTTGAAAAACATGCAAGGTGTCTGTGCATATGTGCTCAAAATCCTGATGGGACAGAGAAATGGGGAAGGGTGTACGGTGTGGCCATGCCTCACTGGGAGTTTCTTTTTCTCTCATGAGCACACACACCCCTCAAGCAATTAAAAAAAAAAAAATACCACCAGACTCAAATAGGATTCAAATATATTTGAAAACTGTAAGTAGTGGGGCTGGTCCTGTGGTACAGTGGTTAAGCACTGAGCACATGGAGCTGGATCCCACATGGCCAGCCATGGTTTGGATTCTGATTTGAAAGACACGCCAGTACATCTTTCATGTATGTGTGCATGTCCCACAATCCTGACAGGGTACGTGTGCCTGGCCCACAATCCTGACAGGACAGAAAAATAGAGAAAAAAGAATGGTAACCACACTCACCGGTGGGTGCTTTCTCTCTCTCTGGTGAGTGTGCACACTTCTCCAGCAGTGAAAAAAAGAAAAAAGAAAAATATATACACACATACACACACGCACAGGCATATGTATTTGTGTGTAAGTATATATAGAGTACTCATATGTACACACATTTACATATGTATCTCTGAGTATGTGTGTGTGTGTGTATGTATGTATGTACTGGGCTGTCAGAAAAGCCATGGTATATTTTTTTCTATGCAAAAATGCGTCATGACTTTTCCAACAACCCCATTTATTTATATGCTAAATAAAAGGAATGGTGGTTCCCATAGCCTAATGGTTAAGGGAGACAGATCCCACATGGCTGACTATAATTCAGTCTGGGCCCAGCGGCCTGAAACTCACACCAGGCATGTGATGTGACAAATTCCAGCAGGATGGAGATATGGAAGAGAAGAGATTGCAGCATGACCACTCCTGATGGGGGTGCTTTCTCCCTTTCTCAGTCTTTCTGAAAAACATGCAAGGTGTCTGTGCATATGTGCTCAAAATCCTGATGGGACAGAGAAATGGGGAAGGGTGTACGGTGTGGCCATGCCTCACTGGGAGTTTCTTTTTCTCTCATGAGCACACACACCCCTCAAGCAATTAAAAAAAAAAAATACCACCAGACTCAAATAGGATTCAAATATATTTGAAAACTGTAAGTAGTGGGGCTGGTCCTGTGGTACAGTGGTTAAGCACTGAGCACATGGAGCTGGATCCCACATGGCCAGCCATGGTTTGGATTCTGATTTGAAAGACACGCCAGTACATCTTTCATGTATGTGTGCATGTCCCACAATCCTGACAGGGTACGTGTGCCTGGCCCACAATCCTGACAGGACAGAAAAATAGAGAAAAAAGAATGGTAACCACACTCACCGGTGGGTGCTTTCTCTCTCTCTGGTGAGTGTGCACACTTCTCCAGCAGTGAAAAAAAGAAAAAAGAAAAATATATACACACATACACACACGCACAGGCATATGTATTTGTAAGTATATATAGAGTACTCATATGTACACACATTTACATATGTATCTCTGAGTATGTGTGTGTGTGTGTATGTATGTATGTACTGGGCTGTCAGAAAAGCCATGGTATATTTTTTTCTATGCAAAAATGCGTCATGACTTTTCCAACAACCCCATTTATTTATATGCTAAATAAAAGGAATGGTGGTTCCCATAGCCTAATGGTTAAGGGAGACAGATCCCACATGGCTGACTATAATTCAGTCTGGGCCCAGCGGCCTGAAACTCACACCAGGCATGTGATGTGACAAATTCCAGCAGGATGGAGATATGGAAGAGAAGAGATTGCAGCATGACCACTCCTGATGGGGGTGCTTTCTCCCTTTCTCAGTCTTTCTTTCTCTAGAGAGTATATGCACCCTCTGGCAATTAAAAAATAAAAACAGTAAGAGTTTAGGGACTAGCAGATGGCGTAATGCTTACATTGCTGGACTCGCACGTAGCTCACTGCAGTTCAAGTCCTGGACTTGGCCCAAGGTCCCAGGAGGAGAACGGAGGAGAAAGAATAGTGGTGTGACTATCCCCTCAGTGGGTCATTTCTTGCTTTCTGTCTGTCTCTCTCACTGTCTCTTTGGCAAGCGTACATCCCCTATAGCAAAAATCGCTCTTAAAAAAAAAAAAAAGAAAATAGTAAGTTTAAAATAATTATTTCCCTTTGAATAACTATTAGTATAAGAAGGATAGAATTAGGTTGAAAAAAATACTTGGAGATTTTATCATGACTAAGAAATCAATTGTTAGCAAGAACAGTACAGAAGACAACATCTCTGTGTAGAAACACACACCACACTGCCATGGAGTACTTCAAACTGGGCTTCACAGGACAGGCAGGAATACTTCATAAATTTCCCTGGTTACTTTTCCTGCCAGTTGCCCTCTTCTCTCAGCAGCCTCATTTACTCTTGAGATCCACAAACTTATGAAAAAAAAAAAAAAAAAAAAAAAAAGATGACAAATAAAATGGTCTGAGTTCTCAAGCAACCCCTTAACTAATTGGCTGTGTGATTTTCACAAAATTACTCAACCTCTCTGTGTTTCAGGTGCCTCCTAAGAAAATGCTAGTTCATCATCCTATTCTACCTCACAAATGCCGTGGGCTAACAATGTTGGAAGGTGAGCTTTCACTACCATGGCGAACAGCTCACCACACTAAGACTACCTAGAAGACGTGCTTGGGGCAAAAACTCTCCTACAAAGGTTTATCATCAATTCACCCTCTGTCAGGGCTTCCAGAAAAAGATTTCCTTTGTTGGTGCAAGGATATGGGTATTTTTACCACTAACCCTCCACCAGCTTGTGCTCTCCCATTAACCCAAGGTTTTCACCCCTGCGACATACAGAAATCACCTGGGAGCTTGAAGTTTCCAGTGCCTGGGCCCCACCCTCGGAGATTCCGACTTGGCTAGGGCAGGAGCTCTGGCGCCCACAGGTCCTCAGGGACCCTCATTGGCAGCCAGGGCTGTAAACATATCAGGTGACAAAGGTACTTGCACAGCGTGGGCTTGCAGAGTGGCAGGTACCCTTCCAGATGTGAGATTTGGGGCAAGCCACCAACTCCTCCAAGCCTCAGCTTCCTTGGCTAAAAAGTGAGGATAAACACAGTCACACTTCATTGGGTGGCTGTGAAGGTTAAAAATGAATGCTTCCCTAAAAACCGTGTTGTATACTTAAAGCCTTCAGCACAACACTCAGCAACATCTCTACATACTAAACAAATACGGATTGCTATCATTACAGTCACCCTTTCAAAAACTCTTCAGAAGGGACAAAAGCCCGGGTCTCTGGCCCCTGGAAAGCTCAGGAAACAGTTCTGCCCAAGGAACCTGGTGACTCAGAGGTCTGTCTTCCCATCCACATCACCCTCCGTGTCTACCCTGGGCTGCCCAGCAGGGAGCAGCGGGAGATCTCATGCAGTTGTGGACAAAGATGTATCACCTTGAGCCACCAACCCTCACGGCAGGCAGCTCCTGTTAACAGCCCCTACAGGCACATCTGAAGTTCCCAGGTGCCCACAGCAGCGTCATGGTTTCCAGAGATGAGGCCAGACACTAACAAAAACAACTCACTTGAGTGCATGATGAAGGCCAGGTTGTTCCCCCCAGCACTTCAACATCTCAGCAAGGCTTCCGGTCACTCTGTGGGACAAGCTCTTTTGCTGTTTCCATTTTATAGATGAGAAAACTGAGGCTCAGCAAGTGTAAGGCAAAGGTTAGCTGTGAGCACAAAGCTAATTACCATCACGGAGCAGCTCAGGGGCAGAAACTGCAGCTCTGAGGCTGTTCAAGGATTCATCCTAGTTTTTCCCAACTACATGGAAAATTTCCAACCACCATGGCAGAAACTCCTTGGAAGATACTTGGAAATGGCAATATTATCTATAAACTTGGGGCCGGCAGGTGGTGTGGTGGGGCACTGGACTCTCATGTGGCCAACCATGGTTCAAGTCCCCGACCTGGAGGCTTGCTTTCTCTCTCTCTGTATCTCTCTGGTCAAATTGAAGAATGATAGTAATGAATAAAACTAAATAAATAATTCTTTAAAAACAGTGTCTATAAACTTACGAATATAATGAATATCAGAAAACAAAATAGGGAGGCGGTAGGCAAAGTAATGTGATTGTGAGGAACAGAAGAGGCGCTAGCCAGCGGGGCTTGAAGCTGGAGTCACCATTTTCTCACTAAGATCGCTGGAATCTCATACAGCACAGCTGTTTGGAAGTGTGTACTGTAACAGGCGTGCAGAACATGACTGGATGCCTCAGCCAAGGGAAGTCAGGCCAGAATCCACACCTGACTTCTGTGCTCCTTCCTCCCTGCCTTTGGCTAAAAAAAAATCCCAACCCGAACTCCCCTGAGTCCACAGCCTATGGCTGGCAACCTGTCCTGTGAGACTGCACCAGCAAAACAGCCAGCTGAACAGAAGTCTGGTTGGGACTGGCAGTCGGTATAATGCTATGTCACTGGATTCCTATGTAGTCGACCACGGTTCAAGTCCTGGACCCAGTGGCCTGAACTCACACCAGGCGTGTGTGCGTGCGTGCCCAAGATCCTGAGAGGAGAATGGAGGAGAAGGGATTGCAGCGTGGCCATCCCCCTGGGGGGTGATTTCTCACTTTCTCTCTGTCTCTTTCTTTCTTTCTGGAGAGCACACATACCCTGTAGCAAAACCTCTCCCCGCAACTGCCACACCCCCAAAAAAGAAGTCTGACGGCATTCGCAGCAAGGACCCTGTGGGCCGGCAAGGCCCGGGCTGGCACGAACCTGACCTGGCAGCAGGAGACTGTGCTGTTAGGCATCCCCAGCGTGCCACTGAAATGGAACTCCATCGACCAGCAATCATTCCAGAGCAAGTGACTTTAATTTACCGAAGTGGCAAACTGCAATTATTGCTCAAAATGACATTCATTCCTGTATGACAACATTTAATACTCTCTAAAAAAGGTTCCTTAATTGCATGCATAATTTTAAATTACTATAATTTGTTCAAGATTCTGTGAAAACCTTTATTTCCCCCTGAAAGCTAAAAGAAACAGAAAGATGATGGAAATCCTTAAGATTCTATAACCAATTTGGGGGCCAAGAGGGTAAGCTAAGGTGACACCCAACGTATTCTCTGCCTGTCAGTTTCCAAGGCTGAGGGGGGCCAAGACTGTCTGGGAAAGGGGGCACTTTTATCTTCCAGATGCTGTCTGTGTCCACTGGGGGTGGAGACTTTCCCTTCCTCCATACCGAGGCCCTACGCCAGACAACAGGGCTCCAGGTGAACTGTGCTGGACTTTGAGCACTGCCAGGTCCTCCCGATGGCCAGGCAGCTTCGTGACACCCATACGCCTTAAAGCACAGCAGGAGGCGGAGGAGAGGGGAAGAGGAGAGCACACCTCCCACCAGAGCTGGGCAAGCACTCTAGTGCCAATCACAGACTCATGGCCTAGGTGCTGAAGGGAGGGCCTGGACAAGGGGGAGGAGGGACACAGAAATCCTCCGGTAGTGCCCAGAGGCACCTGGACTTTGCCTCACCCTTCACTGTGACCATGCTGCACTCCCTGTGTCACTCAGGGGGGGCAGGACCGATCATTTCATAGCAGTGATTTCAGAAGGGACCTGGCTATTGGGAAACTGCCTCAGAGCTTCTGCAGACAGCCAGACACGCCAGGGCCTGGGGCTGAAAGGCCGCCACTCTTGACTGTTGTGGCCTTAATTGGACGCTGGTCTCCTGAATGCTGTAGGTTCTCAAACTGAATTAAATGAGGAGGGAGAATGTGGGCACACCAGCCACTGAGCAAGGAGCGAAGGCGTTCTTGGCCCAGCAGCAGGCCAGCTGGTACTCTTCCCGCGGTCAGAAGTACGGGTGTCCATCTCTGTCACTTATGAATTGCCCGATTTCCTATACCTCTAAGGTGGTCCAGATCAGTAATCCAGGCCACTTTAAAAACCTGAGTCCTGGAAACATCTCTCAGACCTTGGGTTTCCTTCATGATCTGTGCTTATCATACCTGCTATGAAACGGTCACCATGTGGTCACAGAGCAGACCTGACCACCTGCATCTTCCTGCCAGGACAAAAGCAAAACTTCTAGAACAGAACATAGGTCTAAGCTTGCAGGATTCCCAGCAGGGAAAGCACAGTTAGACACTCATCTTCCTCGGCCACCACCGGAGAAGGGGAAGCAGGGCTGCCAGCCAGGATGGGCGGGGACTCTGGTTCTTTGAGCAGAGGGCCACTCACCTTCACATTGGGAGTATAGAGATTCCTGAGAGAGGCCAGGGCAGCAGACAGGCCCTCTGTGCTGTAGCCAATCCACAGAGCTTGGAGGTGGCTTGAAGAGATTCCTGTCTTCTTACTGAGGCCCTGGACACAAGCAGAGACAGAGCACTGTCAGGAGGTCCCCCCTGCAGTGTCAGTGGGAGAGTGGTCTGCCCAAGGGCTCCGAGCCGAGCTGGAGGCACAGTGAGTGGCACAAAATGCCTGAACCTATCCGCCTTCCACACCTAACAATGAGGGTCAAGGAATCGCCCGCCTTGCTACATGACCTATACTCCTGGGGGAGAGACAGAGAGGACAGGACGGTTACTCTTTATGGAAGTAAATTAGAGGGAGAACAAGTGACAGAATTAGAGTTTCGCCATCTGTAACCCCTCATAAATGAATGAACCTAGGCAGTGCTTAGTATTGGCTGACAGCATCACAAACAGAAACGGGCACAAACGCTGTGCTTCCTGACCTGAGCAACTCTGACCCCAACGAAGTAATCTTGACATCCTGCAGGGAAAAAAAACCCTGAATCTGATAAGCCTCTAAATATAACTATCAAGTGAGAGGAGATACAGAGTGGACAGGAACATGCCAAACACCACCAGGAGAAACAAACACACAATCTGAAACCAAGGTGTGCAACACTACATAGATCAAGGAACTCAGGCTCTCTGACAACTAAATAACAAGGAAAGAAAAGGGGATGAGGGAGTGGCAGATGGTACAATGGTTATGTCACTGGACTCTCACATAGTAGACCACAGTTCGAGTCTCAGACCCGGTGGCTTAAAACTCACACCAGGTGCATGTGCGTGCATGCCCAAGATCCCAAGAGGAGAATGGAGAAGGGACTGCAGTATGGCCATCCTCCCTGGCCATGGGGGAGGGGGGTAATTTCTCACTTTCTGTCTCTCTGGTGAGTGCATGCACCCTATAGCAAAAATCTCTTAGAAAAGGGGAGGGGGGAATAAATGAAGTGGAACCTCCAAATGAAAAGAAGGTTAAGAGAGATCAGAAAGGGAGAAGATGAAACTTAACCATAGCATTTAGATACATAAGTGATAAACTAAAGGAAATGCTTATGATCAGTCAGAACAGTGGTAACTTTTAGGGAGCAGGGAGGAGGTTCTGTTGGGGTGGGGCACAGGGAGGGCTTCAGAGATGTCAACAAAGCTACTGAAAATCTGCTAAAACCCGAACTCGACAGGACATGCCACAGAAGCCCTTCCCCACCACACTGTGCAGCTCACCTTGAAAATGTGTGCCTTCAGGATGTGGTGGCCAAGCTCCATGGTCTGCTGGCGGTTC